ATGCTATGCTATGCTATGCTATGCTATGCTATGCTATGCTATGCTATGCTATGCTATGCTATGCTATGCTATGCTATTCATATGTCATGCCACGAAGTGCTTTGGAATGTTTGGAGGTGTTCATGTACGCACCTGTCTAAAGCTCTTTGAAGCAACTGTTTCTCTCCCCTTGACTGTGTGATTACTTTCTGCAGCTGCACTGTGCTCTCACAAAAAGACACGTTTGCTTTAGGTCATTCCTACAAATAGTACCTATGCTTGTGTACCCTGAAGCACTTGCTCCAGCATATCTAGTATATATTATATTCATCATTTTTCCTTTCAATGACATTAAACGTGACAATTTGGTGATAACCTTTGGATGACACATAATGGTCACATTTCAGATTTTCAGAGGCTCTTGAAGGTCTTAAGACCTCAGCTTCTGGACTTCTGCTATGGCTGAGTTCTTGTGCATGCATGAAACTTACCTAAAAAGAAAATACAGCCATTTTTCTTTTAAAATGCACATTCAGAAATGTTGCTTCTGAACCTTTAACAAACAGACAAGGTTCTAAAGTTAAATAAATATTGACCTGGCAGGCTGGAGAATCTCTGTTGCTAACAAATACATACATGTTTATTTGGTTTTAATCTGAACATCTGGATGGACAGTGTGCTTGGGTTGTTTTATTTTTTGCAGTTTTCCAGGGAAGCACTGTAGAGCTTATAGTTATATTTGGGACGTGGCACTACCCTGGGGAAGACCTTCATCAGTTCAGAGGTAAAGAACTGTTTTGGACTTAACAATGACTTATTGTAGCAGCAAGGAAAGAATGTGACGGAAGGAGTGCTGTGGGGTGTGGCCAGGTAATAGCAGCCAGCCCTCTACCTGCTCAGGTGGTTTAGCTTTAAAGCAGCTGAAAAGAGAGTTCCTCAGACTAACACCTGCTGGAGCTCTGTGTGCTAGGTGGTAACCGAGCAAACTGGAAATATGCTTTGCTAAACGGAGGAGCTAAGAAACATTAGGGAAAGCAGAAATAAGGATGAAGAAGCATAATTCGGTTCAGGGAACTTTTAGCCGACTCTTTGGGAAAAAGCATGCCAGCAACAATTCTACAAGCTCCCTCTTTGTCACCAACCCTCCTTGGATCTTCACACAAGAGGTCAACTCTGACAGCCTGAAAACCTCAGGTCAGTATGGCTTCTTTGAGTTTTCAAGGGAGAGTGGGAAGGAAAAGGAGAACGGATTTATACTTTAGTTGTGGTCTTTCACCTAAAAGGGCTCTGTATTGTAGCACTGATCCAGCCATCAGAGCTTTTACTGGGGTGGCAGTGCTGTGCACATTCAATTTGTACTCCAAGAGGTCTATATTAAGCAACAATTCGGCTAGAAATCTACACTAAGTATTTGGTAAGAATGACTGGATGAAATGGAAACATGCTGTAACCTGTAAAACCTGGATCCTTGCGCCGTCTCAAATAATTAAACATAAGAATGAGTACAGCAGATTCCAATTGTAGCTCCTCTTAAAACACTGTTTAAAGAGCAGAATGAGAAGTTGATTTCCTGAGTCAATTTAATAAAATGTTTGTCATTTCATATGGGATTAGAATTGTTCTGATTGCAGCCATCAGGAGGCCTTTAGATGCCTATGCGCTAGTGGCCTCTGGTAATGACAGCAAAAGACTTGTTCTGTAGGTGGTAATTCTCTCTTGCAGCCTGTAATTGTGGTACAATAGCCTTCAGGCTCAGATGGGTGGGTACGAACTCTGAATTCACTTGGAATGCAGAGTGTCCATGATATAGAATTAATCTTGCAAATTTAAGATCTCTTCCATCAAGGTAGCCATGCAACACTTATTTGCTTCAGATAGGGGTTGTCCAGACAAATTGAATGCAAAGGCCAATGGAATAGATGGAAACTGCATATTAAAATTCTTCATAAGTGGTGTCTTTAAAAGTCACCAAATTATGCAACTTGTGCCCATATGTTAGCTCCAGAAACAAAATGTTTTGCTTCCATAGCATATATACTGTAAGTATTTCAGGATCCAGGAGTGCTGCTTCTTGTTTAGGGTTTCTGCTTCTGAGATGCAAAATTTGTACAACCACCTAATGGCAGCAAAGAGTTAGAGGTTTCTTTGCCACTTTCCTGATTTTTGCAGCCCAGATCTGAGACCTACACACGCACACTTTTTTTGGAGAGAGAGAGAGAGAGAGAGAGAGAGAGAGAGAGAGAGAGAG